TGCTGGCTCTCATAGACAACTTGGCTAAGAACTGTACTCATAGACTAGAAATATTCATAGATAACAGCAATTTTAGCATGAAAATGTATTTTTTGTAGTAGTGGTACCATTGCGGAATCAAAGAGCCCTGAGCAAGGAATGTACCACTGCTGCCTCTTCAGGCGCAAACCAAAAAGATCGCCTGTGTCTCAGGAATTGCCATCCATTTATAAAACAGGAGATAAGCTGGGGCTGGGGAGATGTGGGAGCAAAAGGAAATACTGCAGGAGGGGAGAGTGCTCATCCTGGTAAGCGGTGCATTCTTCAGTAATCAATGACAAGGCTTGTTGAAGAAAGCACTAAGGAAGTGCCTGAAGGACATCATCTTGTGGGGAATTTGCCAAGCGTGGTGGGCAGAATGGGCAAGGGCATGCAAGTTTGGTCGTCTCACCAGCAGACACAGTAGCAAGCATTGGCAGTCAAGGAAAAGTGAGCCATGAGATGGTGCGTACGGGAGATGATGGAGACAGGTGAGGATGAGCCATGCAGGGCCTTGAAAGTAGGGAAAAAGCAATGATACTGTAACTATCTGGTAGACAAACTTTAGAAACACAGAAAATGCAGTGTGAAGATTAGATTGAAAGCAAATCCAAGCATGCTGAGATACGGGAATGCATCCAGCCAATTTTCATTTTGCCCTATTCATGTAAAGCAATAGCTTAACAATTGCAGCTAGTGAATAATAGTATTGGTAGTGCCAGATTAAATTAAACTGGTTTTTTTTTTTCCCCTTGGGATGACCACAGTCCCTGAACAGAACTTGGCTTCTTTCCGTTTGGCAACAGGCAGGAGTTGTTTATTTAGGAATACAAGAGTTTACTTATGGCAGGCTGATAGTCCCACTCCAGTTGCAAACAATGGGAAATAGCTACTGTTGTGAAGTGGCTCCATTCAAGTGCCTGCAAGTGTCCTACCTTCTATTATGTAGGTGATTTGGGAGAAAACTTTGTTTAATGAAGGTTATCAGATTTGTCAAAGGATTTATTGTCTAAATTAATTTTTCCTCACAAATTAGTTAACTTTTCAGTGTTATAATTTGCGCAAGAATACACTAAATGTTCCATATGCTTTTAATCCCCTTTAAATAAAATGAAACTCTGCTTTAGTTCTGGACCTACAGCTGAGGCTTCCATGGTAACAAGGAGAAATATCCTACAAGTTGCTGTCATTTGGCCTTTTTAGTTACAAAATTTGCACAGCAAGCTAATTTGTTCTTATCTTATAAATCATTTAAGTGTAAATAACAATGAAACAGAGAACAAATTTAATCTGGAATTCGTAAAAGAGAACTCTACATCTACATAGAGAGATCTGCAGTATCTCCAGTTTAGGGAGAACTTAATCCAGCTAGTTTCAAAACACAGTACATGTTCATTCCGCATTTTTTATCACTTTAGAATGACAAAAAAAAAAGATCTGTAAAATTCAGTCCTTAAACACTGGAAATATATAGACTACCACTGCAAGTGTAAAGCTTTTCATTTGGGAAAGAGGCAACACAGTATGTAAATTGTACTTTAGTTCTTCATTTCTAAAGGCTTGGATTCAAATTCTGGGCTGAACCCAAGAGAAAATGAGTCTGATGGTTTCAATTCAGTCTCTAATCTGTTCAAGCCCTATTACAAAACCGCAAAATAATCCAACACAGTCAGCAGCCTCCTGGATGTTGAACAAGACTGACAAGGTAGTTGGGGGCAATGCCGGTGAGGGACCATCTCCTGCGGAGTTTCTTTTGCTCCTGGAAAATTTGGCCGGGTGCTCTTTGAGGTTATTCACCCTTCATCAGCCCATTGGACGAAAAAAAAGCAGTAAAAGCAGCGACAGATAGCAACTGCTTGGAAAATGAAAAGAAAAATATGGAAGCTAAGTGTGAACTGGGGGTGATGATTATACAGGCGAGGGAAATGTGGCAGGTGGGAGAGGACGAGATCATGAGCAAAGGATCCCTGGCCCTTGCTGGGGCAGCACAGCTCATGCAAATGGGGCTCGTCCTCATCTGCTTCTCCCATGGGCATGTGTCCAGGGTCCCAAATGGTGGCACTGGGGCAAAAACGTACCAGAAAATGACGGCCCTCCCTCAGAACTTCTTTAAAAGCCCCACCTGTGTTTTGAAAATCTTTCTTACTCTCTCTAAAGGTAATGAGCTTCTGTTACTGGTTTCATAGGTATGTAGAATAACAGAAGGAGTTAAACCCCAGTCTCTTCTGCGTAGCTGTTTCACGTGAGATTCAAAGCTAATGTGAGCAGAGGGTGATTTGAGCTGTACGTTGTGTGGCTCATTAACACATAAAATATGCATAAAATGCATATTCATAGATACTGTCTAGCTGTGTATAAAAGCATAAAGATAGTTTTATAGAACTAATGAAATAAATGATGCTTTTGAGCTTTCATAAAGAGTTGATCACACACCACTCTATAAATAATTACTTATTCACCCCTTTGCCAAACTGCCCATTTATTTATTTTGACAACCTAAATGGAAACTCCGTCAGATGTACTTCAGTAAATGTTCTGTTAGACAACAGAAGGACATACAAATGTTAAATGATAATGGGGCTGTATCTGCTTTGCGTTTATTTTAATAGGTGGCTTTCATCAGGCAAGAGGTTACTAATTACATACCCCACTATCAAGTATATACTTACATATAACTTAACACCTGAGAAATGAGTAAGGCTTATAAAGGATTTTTCAAAGCTTGTATGCAGTTGTAATAACTAGCTCAGTAGGATCTATTTGTCTATTTGTTTCCTAAGAGATGAAGGGTTACGTATAAATTTGAATTAAGTTCTAGCCAGAAAATTTATTTTTAGTGTATTTACTTGACTGCCTGTTATGTCAGATTGATTGACAGATAAAGGATACTTCGTTTCTGTTCAGCAAATGAAGGAAATTCTGAAAAGCAAGAAGCAAAATAAACAAATTATTCTTAAATTTCTGATGTTAGCAATACCTGTGAGCACGAAGGATAAAATCAGTGAACAAAAGCCATTTCTCAGTCAATTATAAATAACTGCATAGTACAAAGAGTGTTTTTCAAAGAGAAGTAAAATACAAAAAAATAAATAAAATTTTAAAAAATTCATTAATTTCTGCAAGTTATAAAATATTTTATGTGTAAATTATTCTGCCTTTTCAGTGGCAGCAGCTGCATATATGGTGCAGTGTGTATATGGTGCATTAACAGAGCAAGGAGACTTGGGACAAAATCTATTTAATTTCTGTGATAAATTATCAACACTTCAGAATCTTTCTATTGCTTTGACCTTTCTTTGGAAGAAAAACACTTTAACAGCAATTTGTTTATTTTAGAAGTTGAAACAGTCTTCACATTTTTATAGTGTGTTTATTTCTTTAAGTGATATTTAGTCAGTGTTAATAAACATAGAGCTGTTGTCATTCAACTATAGACCAGAAAGTCTCTATCCAAAAATCAGACTTCAAGTACTCAGATTTTTTTCTAACAATGTGTAGGCACCTCTAGAAACTTAGCCACAAATTATATTCCTAAATATAAATTAATTGCTAAGTTATTGGCAACCATACTTGAAAATCATCAACAAAAGAATTTCAATTACGTCTTTTTTTGCATTGATAAATGAAGGAAGAGCTATAGAATCTGACAAAATGTGTTATTTTGTACTTTGCTCATAAAATCCTATAGACAAAGATGTACTGGGCAGTTTTCATTTCTTGCCATATCTTCCTCTCTGTTAAAAATTTAATTATTCATTTATGTGGCACTACCATGACCTTTTTAAACACAGAAGAGGTGATTGTCATACTTTCCCTCGGTGTGTTATGAAGGGGTTCAGAGACAAGAGGGCACTGCATAGACGATACCGAAAAGGTCAATGCAATTTGGCATTATTGTGTCTCTTTTTCAGATGTTGAACTGTGGTAAGAAGGCAGAATTATTCTAATTGATCATTTCTTATTTCAGCTTTCACTGTTAATGCGACCAAGGTTTCAAAAAAAAAAAAAATGTTCGAGCTAATTATTACTTTTATCAGCATTTGTTTTAATACAAACAATTCAATAAAATGCCAAATTCTCAGTTTGCATTAAGGCCAGGTAGATCTTCTTTAGAAGCTCACAGTATTGCTTCAGCCACACAGATTTTGCAGACTTTTACCATTTCATCAGACACACAAGAAGGCAAAAGTAGGATGGGGAAAGAAGAAAATCTGTACTGTAACCCCCACGTGCTGCTCACAGACAGCTTCTTCCAGGTCGATATGCCTGGAGAGCCATGGTAGTCAGGGCACACTGGGGCAGATGCACGGCTTCATTTAATGCTGCTGAGGTGGTACATACAGAATTGCAATAGGAAAAGCAGACACGTTGGGTGTGGAGGCAGCCTCAGGACCCCTGAGGCTGCTCTATCACAAGAGCTAGCTGCCTATTGAGCTATTTGTTATGCTATTTGAATTAAATATAACAAATAGCCTTTTCACTTGTACACTTCAGGCCCAAAGTTTACTCTATGGCAATGCATAGCAATTTTAAATGCAAACACCTCCGCTGGCAAAAATTCAGTCATGGAAATCTGACATGTTTCACAGCATGAGACTCTTATGCCGACAAAATAGCCATAGCAATATTTGGTATACTACTAAAGTTATTTGTACGCACAGTTGTGTATGTGCCAGACATAATAGCAATACTTTAAAATAAACACCCAAAGATATGGTACATATCTTTTCCATGCAAACACAGTTTTACAACGGTCTGAAGTGCATTTGTAGGGAAGCGGGTACGAGATTAGGATGCAATCATTGCTGGTTTTGGGCCAAGAAAGATAAAAGATGACCACCCAATTTTTATTTTTTTTTTTTTTTGTTTCAGGCGTTGGTGAGTCGTTAGATAACATACAGCTCGCTCTGAGCTCTGACGGTGCGTGAGCAGGACAGCTGCCCTTGCAAACCCGATGTAACGTCACATCCTTTTGTCCACAGCATAGCTGCCAGTCGGATGGAAACTCCATCTACTTCCACGGGACAGAAGGCAGCGAGTTCAATTTCGCCACAACCCGGGACGTGGACCTCTCCACGGAGGACGCCCAGGAGCAGTGGGCAGAAGAGTTTGAGAGTCAGCCTAAAGGGTGAGTGCCCCGTGCCTGCGCAGGGCCCGGAGCAGGGGTGCAGCATCACTCCAGGGATCAGGAAACTAGACAAACAGAGAATTACATTTTGTCTTTGCTGTGTGGCCAGGGAAGATTGTGACTAGGATAAATAGCAATACAGTAAATAACGGGCAACTGTAGATTTTAGGAAGGAACAAGTCCGGAAAACCCAGCAGGAGCAGTCTGTCTCCAGACCGTTCTGTCACCAAAGCTTTTAACAAAAAAGTTTTGCTTGTAAATTATATAGTCATTCTGAAGAAACACACGATGTTGAGCTGTTTTTTCATTCTGTCACACCTGAGAGTATTTTAAAAAACTCATATCCATATGAAATCAATCCCTGAGAAATTCATCCCCCTCTGGATCCCTGCTGTGAGCCACGCTTTGCCATGGGAGAGCTCCTGCTCGTGCAGAAGCCTGCAGGTGCCGGAGGAGGAGGAGGTGGAGGCAGGACAGCTGAAGCAGCAGCCTGCTCTCACCTTCCAGCACCAAAAGCATGGCCACGCCTGCCGTGCCAGAGCTGAGGGTCTGGCTGATAATTTACTATTTTTACTTTAAATATGTATAGCGATTCAAAGAGTACCTGTAAAGCCAGATCCAGCAGGGACTGCTGCAAGGGCAAAGAAAGTGAAGACACCATCTAGGACAGCAAAATTACCACTCTTACCAAAACATGAGTGAGCTTTAAAAAAAAAAGTGTCCTTGTAAAGAAGTATCATTTTATATACCTCAGTGTATAAATTCTGACAAAAAGAAAATAACCAACAATGTGGTCTTGATTCTTTTTTATTTTAAAAAAAAAAAAAGAATTTCATTAGTTGCTGTGATTTCATCTCATTGCTGCAGGGCAATGAGAAACATACACTGTTAATTTATGAGTCTCTGCTGAATGTTGATTTTAACCTACAAAGTGCTTCAGATCATTAACAGCTGATTCAGATGCTGCCTGTGGTGTGCTGAAGGTAAAGAGCACCTTTTAAGAAATACATGCTAATGTGTCCTGTGGACACCTGGTTTATTTGGGGCTTACAGAAAATATATTCACTGTGAACTCTGTCCCAGTTTGAACAATCAACCCATGGCGTCGCGGGTGCTGTTTCAGACAAAGGGAAGAAAATGAGTACGTGTGTGTTGTGTGTTAGGTGACCGTGTGGGATACATTTGAGATGTTCTCTTAGTCTCTTTTCCATCTTGAACAAACAGGATGGGAATGTTACCTGGGGACATCTGCCCTGTCTGTAGATCCTGTCTCTGCTGGACCAGGTGTTTAGCTGAGCTAAGTCGTGCCAGACCCCTCATCATCAGCTGTTCTAATCAGGACACCTCCTTCTTAGATAATGAGTAAACTGTAAAAAATTAATTACAGTAGCAAATGATACAGTGAGTAGAAACTTGGAAATAAAATGCTTATGCCATACCCTGGCTAGCAAATGCACAATTTCTTCCGAATTAGGAATATTACATTTTCACTGTCACACAGCGTCTAACTCCAGCCCGCGGGTGCCACGGCTCCCAGCTCGCAGCGAGGCAGGGTGCAGCCGGCAGATGCATTTTGCACTCTCACCCTGCGTGCAGTCCCAGGAACCAGGCCCTGATCTGACCCCCTGCATATAAAATCTTGGTGGTGTGGCAGCCTGCCCTAGCAGGGGGTAACTTTGTTTTCCGAGGCATTAAGCGGCCAGCCCAAGTCCTCACAAGTTTTTCCTTTTTTTTTTTTTAATTTTTTTGCTTTTCAAATTTTATTCTGTATTAGAAACTTCCTTCTTTGAACTGTTGCTGTAAGAATGGAGGTTTAAATTGCACACAGCCGTGAATACACACTGAACTCGGGTGATGTTATGGACTACATCCCCCTCGTATAAAACTGTCACCACCCTGTCCCTCTTTGCAATGTTTCTGTGGGGCTTTGCTTTGGGAATTGTACACAACTGCAAATAGATGAGCTTCCTTAATTCCTTCTTAGATAAATGTTTTTGAATGTTGTTTGAACTATATTTGAACTATTGTTTTACTGTATTCAAATAGTCACAGAAACACTTTATCTCCTCGTAAGGGAGAGCAGAAGGAAGCTCCCACGTAGGGGTCATCACCACCTTCCTCTGCGCCAAATGCTCTCGGAGGTGAGACATCTGAAAGAGCTCAACAGTGAGGGCAGAGAAGCTTATCCTTGTTTTCGATAAGCGGTTGATTGGTATTTTTTGCATGTCCCACCTAAAGCAGTAGGCTACACGGATGGGGGTTGCTGTTGTTAGTACGACGCATCTTCCCGCTGTCATGCTGTTTCTCTGTAGTTGCATAAATTATGGCCTGATCCTAAAAGCGGACAGATCCTCACATCAGGCTGCCTCTGGCCTCTCTAGCAGATACATTGCAGCTTTGGACCTCCGTGTCCAGTAGATCTAATTTAGATCCATATATCATCCTATCATCCGTTTTGTAAAGAAGAATTTCAGGAGTCACGTGAGGGATAAATGAATCTAAATGTAATGTTTAATCAAGCATGTCTACATCTGTCATGCCGTCACCCAGGTTCCTTCTCCATTTATCCTTACAGACAGTGTTTTGATGTATTTTTATTAAAGTGCCAGGTTTTTAACATAGTAGAACTTTCTGGTTTTCATTTCTAATGCTGCCTAAAAGGAGGGGATCCCTGGAAACATCCATGAACTGCATCATTCATGACCCTGAGTTGTTTTGTGGGTCACTACAGAGAATGTTTTAATTGAGCTAAATAGAGCATACAAAAGATCAATGGAGCATTGTGAGATTTTGTCGTGTAAGTTAAAGTAGGCACAACTGTTTAATTCGGTACTTGCCTTCAGCCCAAGAGACCCATTTTCAAAATTGAATTTTGATTATATAGCACATTACCTTTAAAAAGTCTGCACGACTGAAATACTTCCCTCAGAATTAGGGTTAAACTGTGCTTCCATTAACATATTTATGTTTATATCAAAAAAGCTTTTCAGTGACGCTAAGCTCGCTAATTCCTGTGCAAATGACTGATGGTTTTAAAGCAGGATTTCCAAACAGGCACGTTGCTGGTCTGTCACAGCTTAGGTCAATAGGGAAACTGGCAGCTTTTAAGAAGATCCTAGAAATACATTTTGAAATAGTTGGAATGGTTAAACTGATAAATAGACTGTTAAGTTCTTGAAACGGCAGGTTTTGAAATTGTCATATGGCACATCACTGCTGTAGACTGTTTCTGCTGGAAGTGGACAGGAGAAGGTTCTGCCTTCCCACAAAGGTTTCCGAACATCAATGTTTTTTCCTTCATCCTGAAACACGCTGGCTAGTTAAATGATTTCATTATCAGGATTTAGTGATTCTAAATAATTTCATTGCTTTATCAGCCTTATATTTTTAACATACTTTATTATGAATTAATTAAGACTTCAACATGAATAATAATTCATAAGTCATAATAATTGGTATCAGACCAAAATAAGTACGAGTTTTCAACAGTTTCTAATCTTTCAAAATATTTTAATCGAGTTTTGAAGAAACCAATGCTTTCATGATGAAAACATATTTTCAATAAAAAATATTTAATTGAAAATTCTGCAACAGCTCTTTTAATTATCACTGAATAAAAATAAGAGAAAATTTTCCACAGAAAAACTGAGAAAGATTGTATCATCACATATTAAAAACACAGCAGTCTTTTTTTTCATACTCTCTTCATGTGTTAGTTAAAAACTGTTACCCTAAATGCTCAAAAAGATGAAAAGAGCATTTTCAGCTATTACCTACATATTTAATGACCATATAGTAGATGTGGTGGACATATGACTTTTCAAGTTTCATTGATCTATAAACCTTAGATTATATGAAATGAAACAGAATGCAATTATATTTTAAACATTTTTATGCCAGAAAAGTAATGAAGATGATAGAACAACACAACACTAAAGATTTGGTAATAGCATTCATTAAAAGCCTCATTTTTTTGGTAATTCATGCTTTTCTGCCAATTTATTTAAAATATTTACTTTTACTTTGCTTTATTTGAGTCAACTGAATTTCAAAACCAGTTTTGAATGTGTAAGTAATGTCGTAGGAATCATATTTGAAACACTGCATATCCTCTGTAAGAGTAGCAGCAGCTATTTTTGTATGTACAAATGAACTCCTAGAACATGTTTTGTATGAGTTTGTCGGTAACGTGCCTCTGCACATTCTCTGCCCACTGTTGACCTCTCCAGGTGGGACATACTTGGAGCCGTCATTGGTACTGAATGTGGGACACTGGAATCTGGCTCAGCTATGGTATTTCTCAGAGACGGAGAAAGAAAAATATGCACTCCATACATGGACACTACAGGTTATGGGAACTTAAGATTTTATTTCAGTATGGGTGAGTATATATTCCTAATGTAATACAACATGTGGAGCATGTGAGATTTAAATTGCGCAGTGCGCATAGAACTATTTTAAATACTCCTCAGAAAAGGATAGCTCTGATTCGTGACTGTGATACTCATCAGGATGTAAACTGACCACTCTTGGTCAGACCGAGAGTCCACCCTTCTGGATGCCCACTCAGGTGTACAAACATGGTGGGCACATAAATAGGCCTCCCAAAAATATTCTCCCAGATGGCACTGACTTGCAGATGAAAATCTTTCTGAACAAGACAGGGCATTCTGGGTTTAGTAGCCCTTGGTGGGCATTTCTTCCATGGATTTATCCACCCTTTTTTTTTGGATGGTATAAGCATTTAGCTCCAGGTTAAAACAGTTTAATGGAGAAGTTACATGAAGGTCTGTCCATGTAAGGTCAGTGTCTAGACTTCCTTTATAGTTAGAGGAGACGTGGTCAGTACCGTTGCCGGAAAAACCCATTCAGCTCACCGTGAGATACCTGTGCTAGACCAGCTGAGCAGCTCCCTGGACTCCACTGACTGCATGGGTTGCATCTCCCTTGATATAAAGGAAGCTTAAGCACCTGGTGCACACATAGGTGTGGGTTCATTCTTGTTCAGTCCTCAGGCAAGGTTCATTACACAAGCACAGGTTGTTGTTGGCACTTGAGGTGTCCAAGCATATCTGAGATATCAGCACAAGACTATCAGATATAACCCAGGATTTGTGGGAGAGGCACAGCCTGCTGGAGTAGCAGGTAGGTCAGGCAGGTCCCTCTACAGTGTCTAAAATGTTCCTTGGTACTAGTTTTTATCAACTGAACCTGCCTGTTGTGCCCACAAGACCCTGTGGCCACTCCATAGTTAAACAATTCTTCACGTGAAGTATCTTGTCTTGTACCTTCTAACTTCATTCAATGCCCCTTACTTATATTAGAAGAGATGGTCGTATCTTTGTCATCCTCACCACATCATAGAGGATTTTACAGGTACCTGTCATATCCTCCCGCAGTCATATCCATGTGGAGCCTGGTGTTAATCCATCAAAGTGAACAGCGTTGCACCTGAGAATGAGATAGGAGTAGTACAAAGGTGGGACAGCCTTAACTGGCTGAACCCAGAGAACAGTTTCTGCTCAGAAGCTCTTATTATATTCATGCACATTTTCCTCTGCTAATGTATTGGCCCAGGGTGAGATTCACACAGAGCGTGCTACAGCATGCTACAGTCTTGGAGGAGGCGTCCCTAGTGAAAAGCACTGATGTGGACCTTCCCTGCTGGGACAAAGTGCAACCTCAGTGATTTACCAGGGATAAGAAAGCAGCCAGGAACAAACCTGTCCTGCCACTTCCCCTCCCCACTGTTGTTGTCAGTGCAACTGTATTAGTTCGGTGTTGCCACAGACTAAAATCCCTATGAACATGGTGGTTATCATTCAGTACCTCGCTGTTTTTCCAGAACTTTTATTTTGCACATAAAGGAAATTGCATGAGGTTATTCTCTCAACACCAGGTTTAGAGGAGGTGAGGGGGTTTGCTTAAAAGTAGAGAATAATAGAATAATAAAGGAGGAAGCAGAGACTAAACTTGTGACCTCCACAAGCAACCTTCTGAATCAACAAGAAAAAACACCCGTTATTTAATGAGTTGTCCTAAATTGTCGCACATCTCCTCTGTGTTACATGAATTACCAATAAAGCACAGGAAAAAGAGGATGCTTTTTCCCAGTTCTTCCAAGCATTACAACACCTGCAAGAGAAACAGGAAAGAAATTTGCTCAACCTTCTGAACTTCGGGGAGAAGTTGTCAGCACATAGAGGCACAGAGTACAGTGGGATATCACTTGAAAAATGCATTCTGTACATACTTGTAAATCAAATAAATAATAGTTTAAACATTCAGGCAAGCAGAGGATTTGAAAGGACATATGGATGGATGTTCCTTACTACAGTATAATACACATCAAAGATGCATATCTTATCTAGCTCTCTGGACTGCGTTGTCTATTCCATTCCAAGAACCGGCCATCTGTAGTGAAAATAGCAGAGAAAGTGTTTCATATATAGAACCTTTCTACTTTACAGACTTTTCAAAGAAGCTTCCTCATCCTGTTTTTTTCTGGTTTGGTTTGGTTTTTTTTAATACCTGCAATACCCATAGTGTACAGGGAAATGATGTTTCCTGTTTCAATTACAGATACTTTGTTTTAAAAACTTTTTTCCAGAACACCAAACTAGCGTGATGATGTCCATCTCGTAACTATAACGCAGAGCTTAATGCTCAAATTTGCCAATACGTCTGCCCTCTCAGAGAAGGTTAATAAGTGTTTTGGGTTCTACCAATATGAAGATATTTCAAATGCTGCCCCATTCCAGTGAGGCAACCATGACACACATGTTTTGTGTGATACAATAGATTCCATCCATCCCTTTTAGGATATGGTGTAGATAGTAGAAGAAGCAGCACAACAAAAGAGGTACATAGCAGCCTTCCTCGTTTCCTACTAAGAGCAAATTCTCAGCTGCCAAACTATCAGCTGCACGGAGTGTGAGTACTAAATAACAGTTTACTGATGAGAACTCAAAAAGCAGAGCATTTTTATGTAACTAGGATTTAAAGCATACAGATAGAAGTATTGCTTTGGGCACAGCATTTTCCATTAAAATTGTTTGGGTAAGCTGATTAAGAGAATTACTTGAGGTTTTCATAATTGTCAACCCCCTTGATCTCTGGCGTGGTGTATCTGATCAAATAGTTCTTATACATTGTGTCCTTAGGGCTGCTGTTCTTTTGTTTCATATCCTAAGTTAAATAGCATCTGGTTGTAATTATTTTTGTAATTACGGCTGCATAATATGATTCCACTTTCCAATAACAAGGGCTTCAATTCATTTTTTTCTCCCTCAAATGCGTGTTGTACAGGGGGAACTTGTGATTCTGGAGAATCCCATGAAAATGATGTCATACTTTATGCCAAGATTGAAGGCAGGAGGGAACACATACCTCTTGATACCCTGACCTATGCTGCTTACAAGGTAAGTCATCTTAAATAAAGTAGGTGGATGGGATGGATAGATCAATCTATTTTTAAACATCACAACAATGTTGTATGTTGCATTCCATAGGGGCAGTCAAACGTGATCTTCCCAAGCACATAAATCATGTGCAGATCTCATAATGATAGGGTGCCTTTGCGACACAGCTCTGCAGTTTTTGCTGATTACTCCACCCCAGAGCAGGACCGCGGCGTTGGCTAGTGCTGGGATAACAGGCAAACGGGCAACGGGCAAAAGTTTTCAGCCATCAGCTGAAAACTTTGGTGATAACATCTCCTCACAAATAATTACTCCTGTCTCCAGTCAAGCTCCTGCTAGCCACAGTTTGATACTCGGGAGCTACGTCCTGAGAGGTTCGGTCATGGTGAGATCAGTGGCTGGGAGAAGAGCGACTGGGAAATGCCTGGCTGTCTTTCCTACACGTGGTGCAGGAAATTTCATTTTATACTTTTTATTTCCATTTTGAATACAGTTGTGTGCCCTCTTAGAGGGTCTGCAGCGATGCGGGTATGAACTCAGGCAAGTGGCTGCTGGCAGTGTGCGCAGGCAGCTTCTCCTCTGCCGTTAGTGCAGCCTCCTTCCAACCACATCCACCACCCAGGCAGGACAATAAGGACCTCGAGCTTGCTGTCAGGATCCTTCCTGTCTAGGGCAAGGAAGCACTTAGACCACGTCTACCCTGAGTAACCCAGCCCTGAGGTGTCCTTACTCTGCTGCTGTAAAAAAGATAGCAAAAATTTATATGTAATACATACACACGTGGATGCGCTAGAGTTTGAAATGCAGTATGCTTATACAGTGTATAGGAAATTTGGTGGTAAAGATGCAGCTGATTTCAAGCACAGGTCTGTGTGCATTTTCACTGTAACTAGCATTCAGAGAGCAAATGTTTACAGTAGGGTTTGGCCTGGGTTTGGTTGAGTCACTTGCATTGTTTCATTGTGTGTGGCTTCCCTCCTCGCCTGCTTCTGTGTGAAAGATGGGGTAGAACTTTTTTAAAAATAAGGAAACTGTAATTGTAAAATATTAAAAAATTAATTGGGGAACTCGGGGAGAGATAGGATCTGAAATTACACTGACTTCATTGTGGAGTTTTTTTTAAAACAAGGAGTCTTAAAGCTGACATCCTCTTTTGACATAATGAAGGTCTAATTACATTGCTTTAGGACAAAGGCTAAGCTTCATAAAGCAGTGCTTTCATTTATTTCCACAACAAAACATCCTCCCTGCACATGCCTGTGAACTCATGCTGGTGCTCCATTCTCACGTATTCAGACTAGACCTGCCTTTACCCTGTGTTTGCTTCTGTGAGCTGAAAGGCTGCAGGACAAAGATCATCTTCCGTTATCAACTGAACACTGACAAAACAAACTAGTATTTTTCAGAACACAGAAGATACAGTCTTTTCTACAGTGTCTTTACAACCAAACAAACTGATCCCACTAAGGTAGTAAGCAACACTGGTATCCAGAGTGTTAATAGCTATGCACATAATATAAAATGTTTTTATTGGGGATCTTCTGTGGAAAAAGGTGGCTAAAAAAAGTTAACAGAAACGAAGCAAGGAGAGAGAAAAGTACATGTTTACTTCAGCACATTTGAAGTTGCTTGTCTATTTTAAACAGTACCTTGTGACTTTTTAAAATATTATTTGTTTTATTTAAGCCTGATCTCGTTTCTTTTAAAGGTTCCATCTTTGGTTTCTGTTGTCATTAGTCCGGACCTGCAGACTCCAGCAACCAAGTTTTGCCTGAAGCAAAAGAGTCACCAAGGCCACAATAGGAATGTCTGGGCTGTGGATTACTTCCATGTCCTTCCAGTGCTCCCTTCCACGGTGACTCACATGATCCAATTTTCCATCAATTTGGGCTGTGGAACTTATCAACCTGGTAACAGGTACAACAGGCGAGATTTCTCTTTTGATTATCAGCTTTCTAGCACATTTTGGTTTATAGCATCTATATGAGTATTTGGGGTTTTTTCCTCCGAATGAAGCCAATTAATAATGACAAATATAAGCTGCTGAGAAGCTAATGTGTCTCCGATCTCCACAGGCCCAGGTTTATATACCTCATATGCAATAAAGAGTCTATTAAATAGCTTTCCAGGTCAAAACTTGCTTTTCTTAGTCCATTATTCTGAAATATGCTCATGATTTCAGAGCAACTTTTGCTCCAGTTTCTAATGGATATGAGATTTACCTCTTAATACTTTGTAAGGGTGAAAGTTTTAAAGGCAGCGGCAGAAACCTGCCCTACTGACCTCCCAGAGATTACTGATGCCACAAGCATATCTAATTCTTGTAAGACTGGTGATATATGGCCCTCATCTTGACGACCATCAGTATGTGGACCTCGCTGCCTGTACACTGACCACAGAACTCTCTTGCTGGCTTCACTTCGTTGGGATGTTCAACATTATTTTTTCCATGGAGTTAAGGGGGAGGGAAAGGGAAAGGAGGGAGTCATTTACTGCTCCGTATTTTGTAGAATATTAGAAATGTTTGTTGGAAGGGACCTTCACAGGTCATCTAGTGAAACCTGCTGCTGCAGGTGGGATTGTTACCAGCATAGGTCAGGTCAGCCATGGTTTTGCCTATCCATGACTTGAAAACCTACATGGATGGACATTGTGCCACCTCTCTGGGTGACCTGCTCAAGTGAAAAAGTGTTTCCTAATGTCCAGCCCAACACTCTGAAGCCATGTCTTTATGGCCATTGCCCTTTCTACTGTGCTTGGCAGTACTGAGGAGAGTTTGGCTCTGCCTCCCTTGCGAGTGCCCTCTGCACCATCACAGGCTGCCGTAGCTCACCCCTCCTCACCAGGCTGAGCAAGCCGGCTCCCCAGCCCCTCCTAGCTCGGGGCTCGAGGCCACGGACATCTTGGTCATCCTCTGCTCCACCTCTCCAGTTTCTTAACATCCTTCTTCAAATAGGGGACCCGAAACCAAACTGTCCACTGTCCCTCTTTCCTTATGTACATGTGAGACTGTTTAACCTGATATTTTATGAGGATTACGTTGCTTTGTATTTTTCCATAGTCAAGAGTTTAAAGTAAGAGACTGTAAATGCTTTCACATCCATGTCCCGTGGCATCTGCTTCCAACTGGAAAGAGCTGCATTAGCACTGGCAGTCCTAACAGCCATGCAGGGCAGCAGAATTCAAGGGGCAGCAAAAATCAAGGCATTGCACTTATATTTGATAGGAAGGGAAGGCAGCAACATTTTTCTACACGGAAAGTGAAAACTTTGCCTGTAAACACCCCTGGCCTGTAAACATGGGTTATATAAAGTCTCCATCTCTGTCTGTTAGCTGATGGGCATTAGTATATATTTTGAAAGATTAATATTCTTCCTTCACATAAACTATTTCTGAAGCAGAAGTGTTCTTCATAACAAAAGAAGCACTAGGTCCCCATTATCTCTATTTGTATTTCCCAAACACAGCAGCATTTCTCATCTCCTGGTCTACAACATTATTCATAATGCTTTCATTACTGCAAATGTGAGAGACTTGCACTGAATATATGCAGTAAATATGACCCTCCAAGGTATCAGTACAGTTAAATCTGAAATAAATTAGTCAAAACCTCCATAAACCATTTTAATACACACTTACAATATCACAGTGATGGTACATTTAAATAAAGTAATATTGTCAGCAAATTATAATGAAAAGGAAAAGTTATAATCCAATAATTTAGTATTGAGGTGATGAATTATGACTTTTATAATGTTCCATTGACATTACTTAAAATAAAACAGAATATTACAGGCTAATTTTATGGAGGAAATTACAAGAGTATTGCAGTAAAATACTAAATCCTTAATAAATCAAGTACTTTCTATGTTACTTTTTCAAGGTCCTCAGAATGTAAAAGATCTAAGGATTTCCTTACACTCCTAGATTATAAACAGTGTTTTTTTTAAATATGCAGTGAAACAGGGAAGGAAAAAATTCTAGTAATAGCTTTTTGAAAACAGAACTTGTCAATGAACTTTTGGGAGAATGGGTTTAATAACTCATCATAGACTCAGTGGATGGTCTCATAGAGTTTCCAGTTCTCTAGTGTCACTATCTGCACATGGATGGTTTGATTCACTGCTAGTCAACAAAACCAGAGAACAGCAGCCTTTTTCCCAGCAAATCTGGAGGTTTTGCATATGGTTATGTCCCTGTGACTCACAAAATTCACCACTGAGCACTCCAGGCTCTGTGAGGTGGGAGGAAGCCTCCAAAGACCACTATGGCTGGGCAGCGCAGAGGCTCCCACGGCTCCCAGGGGCTCTGCCTGCTGGGGGGCTCCCTGATGGGTGCCCTTCCCGAAAATTCACCACTGAGCACTCCAGGCTCTGCGAGGTGGGAGAAAGCCTCCAAAGACCACTATGGTGGGCAGCGCAGAGGCTCCCACGGCTCCCGGGGGCTCTGCCTGCTGGGGGGCTCCCCGAAGGGTGCCCTTCCCCAGGTCCCCTCCACCCTCTGCAGTCCTCGGTGGGGGCTGGCCATTTTCACTGTTCCATAGTGCTTTTCTGATCTCCATTTAGGCACAATGGGGGGAGGCTGCAGATGACTGAGGAGTCCAATGAAGTTGATATTTGTCGGCATAGGAGGGGAAAAGTCAGCCAGTGCATGAGTAACTAGTGGTCTTTTACCACCTTCTGAAGATGTAATGGTTAGCAGCTGGCAGTTGTAAGTGTCCTGTGCTCACATGATGCTGTCTAGCTCTGATGAATCCAAGTTTTCTCCTCATTATTTCTGAAACCATTTCTAGCTGAAATATAAGAGTAACATCAGCTCATTTAACAGCAGCAGCATAAAAACACTAGCTAGATGGTGGCCAAACAAGGACTAGGTGTTTAGGCAATCCTTAGTCTATAGGCTACCCTTTTGATTTTTAAACACTCAGATTTGTTTCATGTTTGTATTTTCAGGATTTTTTGTATTCAAAGTCTGCTTAAAATTATTTCACGTTTCAGCATCAGTTATTAGGAATAGCAGATTTGGTGGTTTCTCAGTGTTGGTATTTCTACATTCATATCTATGCCAGGTAGGCTCATGGTGTCTTTCTCCTTTCTTTCCTTCACTGTGTTATCAGCGTCAGCTTGGAGTTTTCAACCAACCATGGTCGCTCTTGGTCCCTGCTCCACACCGAGTGTTTGCCTGAGACATGTGCTGGGCCCCACCTCCCCCACAGCACCGTCTACGCCTCTGAAAATTACAGCGGGTGAGAGTGTTCTCTGCAAAGTTAACTGAGATGCAAGATTAGAGAAGTGAATTATAGGTGACAGAAGAAAGCAGCAAAGCATGCAACCCCATGTCATCTTTCATTTTTTACTAGCTGAGGACAGCAAGGAAGGAGTATTCTGGTCTCCCTGGCTGCCCAGTAATGAAATTTGAAATATATGGGGCTGCTTTTGTGGTATAATATTATTTTTCTGATGCTAAAGATAAATTACAAAAAAAACCTGTGGACAGCATGCTGGTAATTAAAAGAAAAGTTATACCTTGTCAAGTTTTCTTCTTAGTCAGAGGAACCATCAGTCAAAGCCATATTTACTCTGTACTTCTGCAGATGGAGATGGTTGTTCGTGTCACTTTCTTATATCAACTCTTCTCTTTATTAAGTCTCTTTGGTACTGTTCTGACCACAAAATGAACTGTGACATCTTGTTGCATAGCGCAAATCCCATGGCTCTGTATCCCTCTGTATCCCAGCTTCCACAGGCTCTTCAGAGCAGCAGGTATGGCCATGAGAAGAGCGTGTGGTTGAAGCATTGCTATGATCTGGTGACCCCCATTTCTGTACCATTTTCATAGGAACCATTACCCCTGCTGTGCATAGGAAGTGTAGCCACTGTGGATGAGGTGAGAGTGATGGCCCAGACCACAGCAGGCCAAATCCTCTGTGCCCCTCTTCTAACCCCCAAGGGCTTCCACCAAACAGAGCTCAGGCATACGGAAAGGTTTAATGCAGCGTGCAATTCAGGGATATTCACTGTGATGGAGGAGTTGCTATAGCAAAGCAGGTTAAGATCTTTGCTGACTTCATGCATTCATACAGGGGAAAAAGTGGCTGGGTTTTATAATGGAATAATTAACATTCATATATTGTATGAAAATATCATGGGCCATGCTCTTTTTATTTCATTTACATTTTCAAAAGCTGCAGTAACTTCATTGCTTAATTTGAGCAGATTTTAGAATTAAAAATTCACACAAAGCTTCCAGTGTAAGTATGCAAAACATACAGTTGCTTAACAACTACCAGTGTAAAATGTTAGTATTTGTGTTATATGTATTTCAGGTGGAACCGAATAACTATTCCCCTTCCCAATGCAGCGTTAACGAGTGACACCAGGATTCGATGGAGACAAACAGGACCGATCCTTGGAAATATGTGGGCAATTGATAATAGTTAGTATTCTTATCCATGATCATGATACATCAGAAGAGTGAATTTTTATATGCTGCTCCAAGTAAACATATTTTCCAGAATCACAGGTCAAAGGATTTTCAGTTTGTTAAATTCCTTTTCTTCGTATCTCACTTGGTAACAAGTGCATTTTGAAGCTAGAGGGGAATTCTGTCATTTGAAAAGACAATAGCCTAGTAGATTACCCTTTTTTTTTCTTTTAATTGAATGCTTTCCAGGAAAAGACATTGGTGGCAAGGGCTTAATATAACATTTCCTCTGACCGCTTAGTCCTAATTACATAAATATGTCCTGCACTGTGCTATTAAGGACATGTACTGCGCCAGCCTAAGCAACAGTTATAGCATCTGGGACATATATTTCCTTCTGGACATGGAAGACCTTCATAAAGCAATGCTGCTACCAAACACTGACAAAACTTTTACATTGTTCACAATATCTTCAGGGGGAAAGTAGCATCTGTTTCAAGAACTATTCTTCTCGGAAATTATTTTTCACCTACCTGATCTTTAAATGGATGTGAAGAACTGGGAGGAGCTTATATTGACCCATATAATTATAAAACTTAGTGCAGAGGATAACCGGGGCCAGTCTTGAAAGGAAATACTTTAAAGCACAGAAAAAATATTTAAGAACACACGATAAAATAGATACATGCCATGAAATGCAGAAATAAGTATGATTGAAAGGGCTAACTATGAGAAGGTGCAAATTTTTTAGCTTTGCTCATTAGCCTTGGATGTTTTGGGACTAATTAAACTACATCCAGAATTTGTTTTGTTAGATTTGTGAAGTATGTAATTTAAAGACTTACGGTCTTGTGAAATTTTGTAGTGATTCCTGGTAAGGTTTGATATGAAGCCTGGGAATGGTAAATAGTTACATTTTGCAAAATTCTTAAAATAGATTACTGCCTAGTTTTGAAAAGAAAGTTCTTGAAGCTGCCTTGATAATGTAATGCTACAAATGAAAGTTTTTTACAAAAAGTAATGAAAATTGTTGTCTTAATTACATTAATGGGAAATAGCATCATTTTGGCATTCTGGATAAAGTATTCATGCTTGTCTTTAGAGATGATGATTTACATCAAAAAGAAAGTAAAATGAAGGGAAAATTTAGGTATATATACATAAGAAGATGTCTGTGAGTATCTGCAAAGATGAGTTGCTACCTAACAAAATGCAGACTGTAAGTGTTGGAGATGCTCACAGAAGTTCACAGAAATAAGAGCAAGATAAAATCAATGCAAGGATCCAAATTCTTTACAACAGAACAAAACAACAAGATTTTGAAAATTAATGGACAATTCATATATCTGCACTACCTTTGCTTGTACAACTAAATACAATCGCATCAAAGGATGCTGCATACTCCACTCTGTACCATCTCAAAAGCAATTTTACCAACCAACTGCCTAAAAACTGCCTGCTCTGAAATTTGTTTGAGGTGTAGAACCATGACATGGCAATCAAGTCTTAAAGATGAATGTGTTTATGAGGTTTTGCATGCCTCCTTTGTTAGATACTAGTGGAACTGAAGCGTTGCACTGGAAAGACTTATAAATATTGGCAAGCCACTCAAATTCTTGAAGAGAGGAAGATTTTCAAGGATTCAGCACTCTGACTTTTAGCTTCACAACTGTTTCTTACGTGAATTAAGTTTTAAATGAAATCTGGAAGCTGGCCATCTTTTAGAAACACTGGAAAACCGCCAATTTTCGTAAAGCTTTTTTCATTTTGAATGACATCATTACATCTTTAACCCTTCTACTTTTACCACCCCCTCAAAAAGACCTCAAAAGAGACAAATAAATCAAACAGACAGAAGAGAATTTTTGCGCCCTGAAATGTGAGAAAATCTAGAAATCACATGAAGTCTGATGGGGAGTTAGTTACAGGGAGCAGCTAACAAGGATTTATAGTGCATCTGCCAGGGAGTACTGACACACTCTTATGATGGGCAACATCATAAAACTAAGAGAGGGAATAAGTACTGCTTGTTATAGATGTTTTCAAACTGGTGGCTGTTTGGATGACATTCCAAAAGTCACAGTGCAAGCAGATAACTCCAAGTAATAGGCATTCTTCAACAGAAAAGATGACACTATTCATGGTTAAGGCCTGTTTATCATATTGTATTGAAAGAACATTGCCCACAAGTTATCACTTTGGGCTACACCCAAATTTATGCATTTGGTCTATACTCAGCTTAATGCTTTTCTTTATAGTAGTACAATGAGGTGTAGATTATACTGAGATTTGTTCATCTTTCCATCGTATTTTTCACAAAATATCAACACTGCCGATTAGGAGTCATTGGAGGAAGATGAAGTAAGAGAGTAAACCAAGTCTGGGGTATTTTTGAGTGCATATGATTTGGAGTTTTAATCCATCTGAAAGAATCAGTGAAAGTGTATGATATTTAATAGTTACTTAAGACATATCAGGGCAGATTCTAATTCCAATAAGTCCAGCAAAGTTAGTATGTGGATTTCAATAGAGAGAAGCAGCGATACATTTTAAAAATCTACAAGACTGCTATTGGAATGTACTAATATATACATTGCATTACATCTCAGAAATAAGATGAAGAAAGGGGAAGGCAAGAAAATGGTCAATGCATAGCAAATCATCTGATTCACAGTCTTAGAAAAATCAGGTACATTAATTAAAACATCACTAGTGTCTCAAGCCACAGATAGACGTTACCCATTAAATAATAAATTATCCCTGGCTATCCTTGACACGGAGCAAAATTCCATTACTCATTTCTACAGAAGGATACAATCAAATGCATTTTATCCCTTTGTAGACCTCTTCCAGCTAGTGGGATTAAGATAAATACAATACCTGTATGATCAGGTCTGTATACTTTCTTGTATTCGTTATATTCTGTTTATCACATAACATAACCCTTAATTTAACTGATTTCTTTTCTCTGCAGTTTATATTGGTCCATCTTGCCTCAAATTCTGCTCAGGGCGAGGACAGTGTACTAGAAATGGCTGCAAGTAAGAGTTATAATTCAGTACTCGTATTCAATTTCTGTCACATAGTTCACTTGATGATCTGAAAGTTGAAATGATTTTCATTTCAGCCCTTGCTTTTTGAGATGACTAAATATAAAACTAGCATAGCCCCCAGAATGCATAAAGCTCACTGGAGAGCTAAAGATCAATCTTTCTAAACAGCAGCATATTTAATTTTTTTTCTATAATTTTCTTTTGGGAGAGAGTCTAACTTCCAGTTCACCTTAAAACGTGCTACAGAGCACACTGAAATGTCAGTGATGCATGCTTCATACTGGTTTTAGAAGTGATTTGGGACTGTATCACTTTTATATTAGATTTTGGGAAAGAATCACAATTTTCCTAGTTCTAATATCCCATAGCCTAACAGACCTCAAGGACAGAAGGTCAGCACTCCTCTTTTTCTGAAAGTCTGGCTTGTTAAAAGCAGTCCAGCCTAAAAAGTAAAGGTACTTACTCAAAATCAGTAAGCACATTCAAAATATTGGTGTAACTATTTTTAGGTATTAACAAGAGTGTGACCCACGGGGCGTTCTGTTACTCAGTTTCTTGTAATCACATCTGACATGCTACAGATAAAACCAAATTAATCATTTTCCATATGAAAAACTGTAAATTATGTCGGCAGTATTTTTGTTCCAAAAACGAATAAAAATATTTCTGTATTATGTGTTATGTGTAGATTGGTGGGGTGTTCATAACCATGATTTTTTTCAAGTGGAAAAGTAAGTACTAGCTAAAAGAAAGTCATTGGCTATGCAATACCTTAATAAAGTTTAAAGAGGTTCTTGGTCCTTAGATTTGAGAGGGACTTTGTAGACATCTTCAGTTCATGAACAACTGCAGCCACTGTGTTGGTTTGCCAACCAACCACAGGAGAAGATGGGTCACTAATTATGCTGTTCAATCTTCCTCACCCCCAGGTGCGACCCTGGATTTTCAGGGCCGGCATGTGAGATGGCGTCGCAGACCTTCCCCGTGTTCATCTCGGAAAGCTTCGCCAGCTCCCGCCTCTCCTCCTACCATAATTTTTACTCCATCCGGGGGGCTGAGGTCAGCTTTGGCTGCGGGGTCCTGGCCAGCGGCAAGGCCCTGGTCTTCAACAAGGATGGGAGGCGCCAGCTTATCACCTCCTTCCTTGACAGCTCCCAGTCCAGGTGAGAGAGAGAGAGAGAGCAGAAATGTGAGGCAAAGAATGGGGAACCCCTCCCCTTCCACCCACAACCTTGTGTATTATTAAGCTGATTGTTTTATCAGGAGGAAAAGGTTTTTTAAAAAACTCCTAGTTCCATATTTGAATGGTGATTTCATAGCCTTGCCTTTTTTCCTCCTGCTTTGTAAACAACAGAGCCCAAAACAGACTGGAGGGAAGTTATTGTACATCTCGGATGGAATATATGAAATGTTAATATCAAACCTGAGCGTCAAAGCCAAGTGCTAATTAATTATTTATAAGGTTGTGTTTATTTGACAGCTTGTGGCAGCTTATTAGATCCATTCACTATCTCTCCCTCCCCTTCAGTGCCTAATAAATAATTAAATGCTGTAATGATTGGCATTTTTAAACTATGTGTGCCACATTGCATTACTTGACAGTAAAAACAAATCGTACATACAAAACCCCATAACTGATATTTATCAAAACTCGTCTAGATTGAGAAGATCTGAAAGCAACCTGGTTAGGAAAAAAAAAAAAACCAAAAAAACCCCCAACACTATGCATATGGTACCCTATAAATATTTGTGTAATTCTCATCCAGGTTCCTGCAGTTCACGCTACGCCTGGGCAGCAAGTCAGTGCTGAGTACCTGCAAAGCACCCGACCAGCCCGGGGAAGGAGTGCTGCTGCACTACTCCTACGACAACGGGATTACCTGGAAACTACTGGAACACTATTCTTATCTCAACTACCATGAGCCAAGGTATATGCATAAATATCATGAGGAGTGTTATTTACATGCAGTTAATGCTGCTAGTGGTAGTCACTGCAATGCGGAGAGTAAGTACATCTGCCCACATGGTGCAGGAGTGAGTGGAGTGAAGATCTTTTACTGCCCACTGAAAGTTACCACTTTTCCTTAAAATTTTGCAGCTGTTCTGGGCACTTCCCATTTTTGCCTGCTTCTATAAAACTGAACACGTGGATTTAATGGCATCCGAGTGTCAGGTGATGTGACAGAACAAGCAGAGGCAGGGAAGAAATGTACTTGTGGGAAATAAGGACATGTCTCTTCCCATGGAAGCAGCACTTGTAGAGATAAATTAACAAGAATTATTTGTAGCTTTGAAGCCACAGATACCTTCACTACACCATCCTCTGGGATTAGGAGTTCGCAGGCAGTGCAGGACAGCTG